TATTTGTCAAGAAGGGGGGGGGGGGCGATCAAATTATTCCAGTCTCATAGTAAAATAAAACCGCAGACGAATGTTTTAATGCAGTCTCTGAGATCGTTTTGACCAGCATAGTAAATTGATTCCGGAAACTACCGTTACTAAATGCAATAGTATACATGTGTGGATGTATAATCCATACCTTTGTCACAATTTGGGCCTGTCCAGCCTTTCAAACAGACGCACTTGTACGAAAACCCTTTGTCTACGCATTTCTTTGCCTTATTACAGGGTCGTCTGTCGCATGGCCGTTCTAAAATGGAAACAAATGGAGATGTTCGAATCATAATTATTATGAAAGTTAACTATTATTAATTAATGATTTGAAATTGGTTAGATCTGAAAAAATAAAAACATGTATTATAGTAACTTTAACAGGCATTAATTGTGGCCATAGTTTGTTCATCGTTAATAAACAATTTAAACAAAACTAGATATCAGTGGCGGCGGAACAGCGGGGCTAGGGGAGCTTTAGCTCCCCAGAAGTAAAAGTGGGGGGAGGGGCTTAGCCCCCTCCCCCAGAAAAATTTTGTTCTTTCTGGAAAAACTTTGGTAATTAAGGAAAATTTCATGAGGGTATTTTTGGAAAATTTTCGTACAAGGGGAAAAATTTGCAATATTTTGTTTAAACAATGTATATCCGGAATTTTTTGTTATATGTCCGGAAAAATGTTTTGTTATATTGTATATGTCTGGAAAAATTTTTTGGTTTATGTCCGAAAAAAGTGGCGTCGGGGGAAGGGGGGGAGGAAGAAAATTTTAATTACGAAAAAAAAGTTTAGCCCCCCCAAACTAAAATATGTTATTTATGCTGAATATTAACTTTTTATTCATCATTGGACATTATTCTTGGTTTTGTACAACGTAAAGACATAATATAACATTCCTTGGAAAACCCTCATCTTTGGGGATTTCTAATATTTTGTTACACGAATTTATCAGTAAAATCCAACATGAAAAAAGAACATAGGCAGGTAGTGAGGTGGTGACCTGGACGTACATCTTGAGAATACTTTATAACCGTCCCCCTCTATTAAGGCTAAAAAGAACGGCACGGCAAGTAATATTCAAACGAGATCGTTCATGCATCTGTTTACTGTATAGCGGTTTGAGACGCCAATTGAAAATTCAGATCTAAATTCCGCTACCAATACCGTTTACCTCCCACAGGTTTATTACGTCATTGATTGGTTAATTGGCCATATTAAACGTATTTGACTGGTTAATAGAAGCGGAAGCGGCAGTGGAAGTCCCATCAAATCGACATCGGTGATGACCAATAATTCGTGCAGAGAAGCACGAAGTTAGAATATTCTTGTAAATTTTTAAAACGTTTACCCGGTTGTGAAATATCTCGTAGACAAGTAATATTTGTTTTTTTAAAAAAAAAAGATTAATTGAAGCTAGGCAAACCAAAATTTAATATCTATTACCATGCAAGTATTTCTCGAGCTTTAAATTTACATTAGAAACGAGAAATTGAATTAATACGTACCGTCACAATTTTTTCCAATCCATCCAGGGTTACACTTGCATCTGTAATCAACGGCACTGATATCCTTACAAGTCCCATTTACACAAGGATTCTTCTTTTTACATGGAGGTGGCACTGAAAACAAGACAGATGCGTCGTTCAAATTAAACGAAAAATAAATTTGAAAAATAACTGTGAAAAAATCAGTTAATTTGCTGTCGGAATTATATAGTCTAATTTTGGATCTTATAATTGAAAAAATAACCAATAATTTCTGCTACGAGATCGCCGAAAATAAATGTTTGGCACATCGTCCACGTCGCAGATAACTTGATTTGCACACAAATTCTAGCATCTATAAACATTTTTTGTTATGTTTGCAAAAATTTGGTCAAAAAACAATTCGTTTCCACAGGCGGTCGATTCAGGGGCGAAAGTAAATACATGTGGAATTAGGGGTACGTCTCTCTAGTCGGGTATGTCCATTGCATTACGTTAGGCAAATTTTGAAAATATATTGCTTCTCGGATTGAAAAATAATGGTTGTAGGAAAAAAATTGATAAATTAACAAAAATATTACTCAAAATTTTATCAAATTACGGTACATTATTTCTAAAGGTAGTGAAAAATTCTTTGTTTGGATACTTTTTAACACTCCCCCCCCCCCGCCGACTTGCATGACAACAATTTTGAATAAAAAATTAATTAGCAACCAAAATGTCCATGCCTTTTTCTTTTCGCCCCTGGTTTGATTTGCCTTAAATTGGAAGCTATATCATCTTAGGTGCACTTTACTCTATTTTACTTTTGCATGCATTGAGTGAAACGCAACGATTTAACGGATCAATACTTTCATATGCATCCATATATTAGCTATTGAAAAAGGTAAATCCTAATACTATTTCTTATGCATCTCGCGTAAGAAATAATCCAGTTTCTCCCAAAAGTATATACCGATATAACGCGTTTATTTATCTTTCTTTTCCCATTTACCGAATCTGTTAACTTTTTGATCTTGTTCAAAATTATTCTATTTAGTTTACAGTTGTATAACGTATTTTTCTCCAATTTTATAATTAGTGTTAAATGATTCCGTGATAAGTAGTTGAGAAAATGTGGTTTCGTTACTATTTTTTAGCATTCTATAGTTTAGGTATACAAAAAATAATGTAACAAAACAGAACTCAAACAAACAAAGACTTGGATTCATACCTTCACAGTTTCTTCCTGAATAATGATTAACACATGTACAGGAGTAATTTCCGTTCCCAACTTCACAAGTCCCTTCGTTCTGGCAAGGACCTGCATCACATGGCCCGACTGAAATGGAAACACTTACGTCAAGAATTATAAGCACTCCGCAATTCTTACATTCCAATATGTATTTGCAATACAACATATACTGAACTCAAACCCAGACCAGCATATGACATAAAATATATACTATATTGGACAAACACATAGAGTACTGATCTCGTACTGGATAAATCCTAGTACTGGATAAGTACTGATCTCCAAACTATAGGACCGCATCGATCTTGCAATGATTTTAATGTTTTGACTGGAACGAGATTACCCTGATAACAAAGATGAGCACTGATCTCAAATTATTACTGAATTGCGATTACACTGATCTCAACTTTTAATCTCCACACAGACTAGACGCGATTCGGCAACGCGACGCGAATTTTCAGTTTTCAAAAACAAATAAAACCGTCAACGGGTAAAAATTTTACAAGGTATGCAGACCAAATAGCTAAAATTGCTAAGTGGTCCGGCATATTTGGAAAACAATAAAAAATATTAAAGTTAAGTGTCATTGAAAACTGATAATTCGCGTCGCGTTGCCAAATAGCGTCCGGTATGTATGGCCTTAAGGCACTAATTAGATGGAAGAATCACGAAATTATTTGAATAAACCACATCGTATATGGGAGGGGGGAAATATCCCAAAGGGGGGGGGGGGCGCTGTTCCTGGAGCATTCGCCCCTCTGGGGGGGGGGCGATATTCCTAGGATATTCGTTTCCCGGGGGCGGTAATTGTAGGAATATCGCTCCTTTTGTGAGGGGGGCGAATCTCCTGCGGGGGGAAAAATCATGTGACAACGGCATGGGTAAATAGCACTACCTTTTAAAAATGTTACCTTGCCCCCCAAAATATGATTTTGCCCCTCAAATGCACCCCCCCCCCACCCGACTTTTGAGGCCTGGCGCTGCCACTGTCTTTTGTCCAAAACTCTTCTGCACGCGTGATTCAGTAAAATAACTCAATTCCGTCCCATGTCCCGACGAGCACTCAAATTTCGAAAAAAAAACATTCTTTCACCATGAGCACGTTGGGAAAATGTTTAAATCATACTTACTATAGCAATATCCGCCAGAATACCCTGGCTTACACTGACATGTTCCATTGACACAGGTGCTTCCATTTGGATTGCAAAAGTTATCTGCACAGGGATCCTCTGAAAATGAAATGTCCATCATCAGACATGACCTTGCATCCAAACAGTTATCATTAATGAGATGTTTTTATGTATAGGACATATGGCAGGGGAAATTTTCAGGCAGACTTCTGCGAATATTAGAGTTTATTTCATATCTAACTACCGACGAATATTATATCAGCCTATGCACGCAAGATTGTATGTAAATTCGTTTTGGTCAGTAACATTGAATACGTGGCAAATTCAACGCAATTTTGATGGTCTGTACATTTCATCTCTTTACCACCACGATTACTTCGTTATCCCCAAGCCGGCGGCGCGAAGCGCCGTGCTAGGGTACTAATTTCCCCCGGCTATTTACACCCGAGGAAACGAAAGCATTAGCGAAGTCTAAAGTTCATCAATGAGCGCGGGCGTCGGTCACCAATGATGGGTCGTCATCCTCACTGATCTCAAAAATATGGCGGACTGTCATGAATAACGGACACTGATTGGTCCAATTTAAAATTTGCATTATAACGACTGCATGACAACAGCGAAATAGCAAACATTTCTTGATTTGATGAGTTGATGATTGATAAATTTCTTGCAAATATTCTTCATTTTTGCTCGTATTTCTGCAAGATTTTGTAAATTTCAAGAAAGAAAGGGCGAAAAATCAGCTAAAAGAAGGCAGCCGACGTTAACGAAAGTAAGTTTGTTTTAAATATTGATTTTATAATGGCTTTAAAACCCGACGGCCTTTGCGTATATGAAACAACTAAACAAGACAGCATATAATTTCAGTGTATCTTTAATATTGATTCCCTTTTTATTATATTGAATTTTTTAAATAAAAAATAAAGCGAAGTTATTTGCATGCGAGAATTTGAAATCATTTTATTGCAAACTCAAAGTTTATCGATAAAGCCATTTAATAGTTGAAGGCAGTTTAGTTTTATAAAGAACACTTTAAAACGTTTTGTGAATTGTTTGTGGTTGAATTTTACCTTAAATTGAAGCTTGTATTACGTATAATTACATACCTAACATATATATGTTGGGAAATTGATAATTTTGTAATTAAAAGTGATATTTTTAGGCGATTTTCATTCGTAAGAATATTCTTAAAAAATTGTTGTGTTACCATGACAACTACTTTAGATACTTCATGTTCGGAAAATACAACGGTTTTGTCAGCAAGGCGAGGGTTTCTGCATGCATGTATTTTCTAGTTAATGAAGTAATCATTTGTGGATTAAAACGAAGGGAGAAAAAAAGAGGGAGAAAAATATGATCTTCAGAATAAGATTGTTTGACCTAGCGCGCGTGAAATATGAGCGGGGTATATTTTACATGCATTACGCATAAGAACTGTACCTGGTTTCTTGCATATATGTGGATGTTTTTCCGACTTCGGTTGGTCTGCCCATGTTCCATCTGTTTGTATCAAAACGGCAAAATCCTTATTATCTAGACCAGGTTGACGTTGTGGTTTCTTGTCAGGTTGACCTGGTGCCCAGTTGGTCCACAGGGCCGGTGAGAAGTCTAGAAGACACGTGCTGCTTGTGTGACATTGAGACATACCAAGCCAATTGCCTCCTCCAAACTCATTCGTAATAAATGTATTTTCTGCTAGACCTCTAATTGCTACCTGCGCTAATGTAGCGTCTTGACGAGCACATGCTGATCTGGCTTCATTCCAAGAAGCTGCCGGGAACTTCTTGTAACAATTATCTTTGTACTTGTGCCAACCAGCAGGACAAGCAGCTGTAATATAACATACCAGCATATAGATAACTACTTTATGCATCTGTAACGTAATGATAGATAACTACTAACGCATCTGTAACATGTGTTAGCTCGGCTCGTTACACATTTTGTTCGATAGAATTGAATGCCAAATCGTTTTCGTTTGTTTACACTCTAGCATGCATCACTTTAGTAACTATATGTACTGTATACAGAATTTAGAAAGGAAAGTTCATACGTTGAAACTGGACTTTATAACTAGGTGGTGAAACGCTTCGCAGAAGGTCTCATGATTGCATTTTTGGTTTATCATAATGTATCATTTATAGCTAATCATTTATAGCTCGACATTTTCATATGCGGAAACCCTTCAACAGACATGTACATAATTGTTAAATATTGTTCATATTTAAACCTTATATGCATCGACCATGTAGTCATGTATGGGGCTGGATGTTGAAAATCCTATGAGTAGTAGTGAGTAGCGAACACAAAATCAACAATCGAGATTTGATAATGCATATGCGCGTTTGGTATTGTAAAATACTCCCGTAAATTCAAACGTCTGTTTCCGATTTCGTTTAATTAAATAGCATTATGCAAAATGCATAAAATTTGTCAGTCAAGATCTTTTTTAAAATCTTTTATAATATCTGCCTAAAACGATATATTTTCTTGACGTAAGCTATCGATTTATATTGCATTGTGCACGGAATTTGATCTTCGATTTTGTTTCGTGTTCAATGTTCAAGCGTAATGAATTATTCATTGAATATTTTGGGAAATTTTTTTTTCTTATTTCCTGTTTCTTTTATTGTTCAAAATAAGCAGAACCTTGAACTACATAACGTGTCTGTACATAACTGCTCAAAGGCTAGGAAAGCGAGCTAATCGAGAACTTGTAACATAGAAGCCTTGTGGGAAAGCTGCTCGTTAATTTTCTTCGCCCATTCAGGTTTCTATATTGCAGAATTTCCCTTGCCTCCTTGACTATGTCCAGTTGTAGCATAAGTGATGGTAATGTTCAAAAACAAGTCTTAGTATTATCTTTTCATGGCAAAAGATGTCTTCTATATAATTAATTACAGTTATTGCGGGAGTTGGCTTTATTTGTCAATGGGGAATGCACGCACGTTCTGGGTATTCGTGCGGATGAAGTGTTACCAATGGTCAACTATAGCAGCTACTTCAGACCCGTAGTAAATAGTTATAATCAGTCGAATCTTAGAGTCAGAGATTGGCCAAAGGGTGAATTATCACCCTTCGGTAATATCAATGTTGGAGAGAATTATCAACCACTTAGCATGGCCCTACTCATGGATTATCTCTCTTAGGGCATTCAGTCTCTGCTAGAGAGTTTAACAGCACATGCTCGCAGAATGAAAATATAAAGGCTATATGGTTCGCTATTGTTTAATAGTATACATATTACTTTACCGATCATATATCAGATCCCACCCTGTCACAATAATTTATAAGATGCGGTGTTCAATTCCTTTACCAGCTGCTCTTTCATATGATAAGGGCTTGCGTAATTAATTATTGTCTATATTAATGGACGCCGGGACTTTTGGTAATATCTGATACACTTAAAAATAAATATTGTAATTCTTATTTTCTGATGAAAAACGGATTGTCTGGAACGAAAAAAGAATTTGAACGAAGTGTTACTCGAAGGCAAGTTAAAAAATATTAGCATAAACATGGATAAAAGCACCACAAAGTCTACGTTTTGTCGTGAATCTGAATGTGAATATGAATATTAGATAAGCACATTCAATGGCAATGAATTTCGAGTTGATGAGCTCTAACCACAAGTTCATGTAAAGGTACTGGCGGGGATGTTAAAGTATGGGTATAAATATCAAAATCGCAACTATTCCTGCTTAGGTCCAAAACGTTTATAAACAAACTAGAAATAAATAATTTCCTTCTACAAAACCCTTCAACTTTATTCAAACAAGTAAGATGGCAACACAATCTTGATAATTAGTAAATAACCCAAAGTACATTTTAAGTACTAGATTAAGCACGAGCAGCCGACCTGTATCTGATATACAAACTCGATCCGAAGGCGAGAGTTTGTATATCAGATATTACCCATCTTTATATGCGTTCATTGGCAAAGTAATATTATATTAAAAATAAACATTGTCTAAGCCGAGAAAATCAAAGCTGACGTTTATGTAAATCAGGACAAATCTTTATCCGATTTACAAACATTGATTCAAATAAATTTTTTAATGAGCTATATAGAGAATAATACATGCAGGTTGCACGGAAATACCAGATTTATTTCGAGTGTTGAACATGATATCTCACGCGAGTGTGCGCAGCGAACGAGTGAGATATCATGTTTAACACGAGCATTTTAATCAATGTTTGTAAATCGGACAAAGATTTATATTTATTATATAAACAAAATTTACAAAATTCACACCTAAATATATCGTATTTTTTACGTGTGTTTAAATACGATTTTTCTCAGTGGCCAAAAACTCTATAGAACACTTATGTTTATATAATAAATGAATTTATACAACGTCCACTTACCATCAAGTTTACTTGGCAACACACTCAAAAGAACGAACAGAACAAGAATCTGTGTCATCTTTATTGTCTATTTTTCCTGAAAGAATCAGTATGCAATATACATAAAAATCATTACGTTTAGGATTATATTGCAGCCTAGTCCCAGGATCTCTCTCTATTCGCTGCTTTGATATATTTAAATAATTCTTAAAAGTTTTATGCCTGGGTGTGCTGTGCGGAACGCTTCAGCGAGAGAGCCTAGCGAATTTCGGTAAAATGGTCCCTGATTTGAAAAAAGTGGTCCCGAGCCTGGTTACCAAGCATACCGCATTTGTAAATAGAAAATATGATGCAAATTTCCTTTGCGTTTATAATTAAGTCATTAGTTTTGCTCTAATGCTGTCGGAGCAATGAAATAGAAAGTTCACGATTTAGATGCGTATTTTTTGACAATTATTACTTGTTCATAAACAAATAGTACCTTAGTTATATAAAACAACATCCAAAGAGTTTGAATTTTGCACAAAAGTTGCGTAACTGACGTTGCTATGGCAACAATGACGTTTCAAGGTGTCGAATATTTTGGCTTTAAAGTAGTTTAACTCGTAAACGACATCAGTGACCTCCAAATTTTATTTCAAAAAATGACTTCTCTTAGTATTATCAATTATTCCGGCAATTTAAAAAAAATCTGTGAAGCCAAAAAAATTATTATGAATAATCACGTTTGCGTAATTTTTAAAATTTCGCCTCCATAGAATTTTTTTAAATTGTCAAAATAAATTGATTATACTAAAAGAAATCATTTTTAAAAGAAAATATGGGAGTCACCGATGTCGTTTACGAGTTAAATTACTTTAAAGCGAAAATATCCGCCTTCTTTAAACGTCATTGTTGCCTTAGCAACGCCAGTTGCGCAACTTTTGTGCAAAAATTCAAACTCTTTAGATTTTCTTTTATATAAGTAACGTTCCTTTTGTCTATCAACAAGTAATAATTGTCCAAAAATGCAGATCTAACTCATGAATTTTCCATTTTTTTAAAAACTGTATTGAGCCACCTTAATAAGCGTAATACAGCAGTCGTCTAATGCACAAGTGAATGTAAATCATTCCAACAAAACAATTGATTGTAATTTGACCAACCCATACATGCAATTGGTATAGTGTCCAGCGATAGGCACGTGACTTGGAGATGGGGGAAAAGCTTGCATGTGGACTAAGTAAATATATTATATGCATGGCACACTTTGTAGTGTTACAAGTACACGTTTAGAGAAATAAAATGATATAATAGTTGATAGCAGAAAGAAAACGTTATCAAGATTTTGCGAAGAACATTAATTCAAGTCAATTAAAAAAAAGCGACGGTACTTTGCTATTTTTAACTCATTCAATTCCTCCATAAGGGCTGGTCATTATTTATGGAAGGGGGGAAGGGGAATTTTTTCTTTTCTAAATTTTTAAAATTAAAAGCCCTCCCCCCTAAAAGAGCAGAAATTTAATGATGACCCCCTGCATATTAGAATAATTTTCTTTACCCCCCCCCCTCCCCCCTCACTTTCATTTTACTTTTCCAGGCGTTATAGTGTTGATTACTAAATAAGAATATGGAACTGGCAAGATATTAACGTCGACCAAAAAATATATATTAGCAGAAAATTATAATTAAACGAGGAGTATTTTTATATAACGCTAAAATCAGGTTTCCATTTGGTCTGGGCGATTGTAACCATGTTTAAGGCTGCAACTAGACTTGATGGTACGAAGTATTGCCATAGCAGCTGCGCAGCAACAATGAGAGTAACATTCAGTAATATTAACAGCATTATACAATGTATAGGGGTCTATACATCCTATTTTATGTGAGATTAAAAATTATATAAAATAAAATGACATATACTAACAGATAAAATCCTTTACGATGAAACACAGCACACACAAGACAAGATAAACCCAGACTATTTCACATCAGTGACCGTGATTTAGTTGCAAAATTTACAACCAAATGGATACCAGGTTATTTAAGCAAATTCCTTCAAATTTATTTGCACCCCCCCCCCCATTAGTTTCTTGAAAAAATTAATAGCCCCCCTTCTAGTCATTTATTTATACATATGCTCCCCCTATTTCCCCCCACCCCCTCTCCTTTAATAATAACCGGTCCCTAATCAACTTTTTCTGGTGATTATATTGAGGTTCAGAATTTTTTATTATATCCATTGAGGTAAGTGTTTTTTTAATCCTGCAATTCTCGCTCACAAACGTTCATTACAAAATACAAATTGGGACTTGGCGATTAAATTCAATTCGTTATTAATTTAATGACGTGCTCGGCAGTTTGCTGACGTGTACCGCCATTACTAGCAACTGAGCTACAATATTACTGGAGGAGGTGCTCCTACCCCTCCGCCAATCAAGCGAGTCTTCGCAAAAACTTGGTGGATTTTCTAGCTTGCGTGCAGGCCCAAGGGAACTGATAGTGGGCCTGCAAGCAAGGCCCGGTATTTTGTAAAACGCCCCTTTTCAT